ACAAATATTGAAAAATCTGTTTCACTCTAGTGGAATGTCTTTTTAAAATAACCTGAGCTTTCAGGTTGTATAAACCCAAGTGACATTAAAGCCAACTTTTGTGCTGATGTCAACCTAGGAAGTTAATGATAGCTCAAGGGCAGGTCTGCATGATGGAACAATGTTGACCTTAGGCACACAATTCCAGTTTTGTAGCTGGAGCTGATTATATTAGATTGGGATGCCACGGGGTTTCTACTGCAGGGAGTTGAGGGGAGAAACTCCTCCCTCGACTCCCTTTATGCTTCTCATTGCTTTGGAGTACCAGAGTTGGTGAGAGCATGATCAGCGGTTGATTGAGCTAGACCTGCTAAATTGTCCCCAGGTGATCTATCACCACAGTGCTGATCTGATAAGCATAGACCTGCCCTAAGTCAGTGTAAAGTTTGATTCTTTAAGGTCTTTGCTCTGACAGTAATGCAAGTGGGTCGATAAGTTATTTTTAGCTGGTACTGCATACTGGAAGGACACCCTGCTGACCATCTCCAGCCCCTCTATGCCTTGCCCCTCTTCCCAGGTAATGAGGGATCTAGAGGGGAAGAGCTGGGAGTGGGATAGTCACGTGGAAGATCATGTGAGTCTCCCCCACCCTTCTCCCATACTGGTAAGAATTTTTGTTTATTTGCACCATTGGTTAACTTTTAAAGTTTACTGATCTTGCTTGCTTGTTTTGTAGCTGTGGATCTGTCGAGTGTCTAGTTCTGTTGTTAAAAAAGGGAGCAAATCCTAACTACCAGGATATTTCGGGATGTACACCCCTTCATTTGGCAGCTAGAAATGGGTAAGAAAAAAGCTGTTGCATTTTGAAAGCATGCGAACTTTGTTTAACACAGATTATAGACCTGTTTTAAGAATGTTCTATAATTTTGATTTGCATACTGGTTAAATTGTATATATTTGCATTTTCAAAGGTGTAAGTAAAACTACAGAATGTGTAGTTCTATACCATGAATTTATAGAATAATGAATTTTTTGAAAAATTGTAGAATATTGATCAACTAGAAGATTTACCTGGCATTGCTTGGTCCTTAACTAAATTAATTTTTGTTTTTCTTCATTTAAATCATTATTCTGAGGTTAGGCTAGGGATGAGGAGTTCAGTGTGGGAGCTGACTCAGGGAAACCAACTTGGGGCCAGGTGAGAAGTGCCTGTCCATAGCTACTGCAGCTGAGGATGGGTACATGTCCCCTGACTGGGAGACAGACAGAGAAACCACACAGACAAACTTCCTACCTGTCACTGGCCTGGAGTGCTCCCAGCGCCTATCTAGAACAGCTTCCTTCCTAGAGCAGTCCCTATCTAGAACAGCCTCCTGCCTGCTGTGCGTAAAGAGCTGCTCAGCCCCTGCCAGTTAATCCAGGGGTGGGTAATGACTTTTTGTGGGGGGCCACTCCAAGATTTTGGTAAGTGGTTAAGGACCACCATTTTCTGTGGAGGGGATGCGGGGTCTAGGGTGGAGGTTGGGTGCAGAAGGGCACATGGGATAAGGGACTGGGGTGAAGGAGATGGTGTGAGGTCTGAGAGGGAGTTGGGGTGAAGGAGGGGTTGTGACCTGGGTCTCAGGATGTAGGATCAGGGAGGGAGTATGGATGCAGGAGAGAATTCTGGCCTGAGGGAGGAGTGAAGGATGAGGTTATGGTTGCCAGGTGTCCGGTTTTGAACCAGGCAGTCGGGTATGTGAGGGTTCTATCCGGGAAAAAATTAAGAAAATACCAGACATATAAAATGTCTGGTATTTTCTAATTAGATAAGATGTAGTATTATTATTAGGAGTATCAGTACCTAGTTGTGAACTGCCTGGCTGGTAGACACGCTCATGCTGCGTGAATATGTCTTCCAACCAGGCAGTACGCAGCTACGTGGGGAGGAGGGGCTGGGGCGGGAGGGAATCCCTGGGGCCAGACTCACTCATGCTTCGCTGGGACCGTGCACGGGACGGCCAGCGCTTCTGGATCTGCGTGCGCCTGGGTCCGTCCTGCT